GGGCCCTTGAGAGGAGGAGCTCTTCGAGAGCTTTGGATGACGTACGAGCTGGGGTTGGAGTCCTATGCTGCCTTTTTCGTATTAACATAACTTCGGTCATGTTCGTAATCATAGTAGCGCATAAACTAGAAGATTCTAGTCTTAGAGCCCTATTAAGCTTCCTCGTGTCACAGATGATGGGAAAAAAGTAGTCTGAATTCCCCAAATTTTCTCAGCCGCTTCTGGACGCCTCTGGAGGGTGGTATCATGGAACTTACAATTTGCAATGCACCCTAAACCCTAAACCGGGTTCAAGAATCGCTTGACTTGTCAACGCTTCTGAAGACCCTTTGACCATGCAGCTGTATAACAACTGCTCGTAGCACCGTCTAGCAACGGCAGCAGTACAACGCGCACACGTTTACACAACACCCTACAAAGCTTTTAACTAATGCCCGGAAACCCTATAAGTCCTAAACCCTAAACCCAGTTTAGGGTTTAGGGTTTAGGGTTTAGGGGTTAGGGTTTACCCAACTTTATGCCCAAAACCCTCGCTCTGAGTCTTAAACTCCCCCAACCCCTAACCCGGACGCACCGGAAAGCAGCCGCCTAAGAGACTTTGCATAACTGTACGACAAGATCAGCAGGTTTGGCAAAATGCCACATGTTCAGCATCCGCTCACCAAAGTCGAGTATCAAAGTGAGTCTCACTTGGATCCCTAAATCCCACTCAGTCACTCCCTGAACCTTAAACCTTGTAAACTCTACACCCAAATGTCAACCCCAAACCCTAAATCCTGTACGTTGAGCCTTATAATCCCTATACCCCGACCAGAAACCCTAAACCCAGCAAATCAGGCTCCGGCTTGAACTGCACAGTTCAGGACTGGACAGGTTTAGAGGGTAATGCAGACCGATGATTCATCTACCCCTTCTTCTTTAAAGGGATTCATAGTTGAGGTTCTAGTATTTGGTTCCGAACATTAACTGGGCCCTAAGCCTACCTAAGCCTGAAGCCCTAAACCTAAAACCCTAAACCTGAATAGCTAAGCCGCTTGGGCAGGGAAGGCTGCCTGGGGTGCCAGCTCGGACGACGAATGGGAGCTACTGGCCTCGCTCTCGTCGGGACAAAAACGGGGCACAGGATTTTCGGGCTCAGGGTTGTTAGTTAGGGGCTTTAGGGCTTTGGTCAGGGGTTTCCCTGGCCGTTCCACCTCAAAAATCGTTCCAGCGCGCTGCCTCTCCTCAGTTCGTTCCACCTCCCAATCCTGCGTGCTGCTTCAGCGCACGAAGCAGCACCTGGAGTTTAGGCAGCACCCAACTCGAGGCGGAACGGCTATAGGGACCCCTTGATATAGAGCATTATTTTAGTTTTATGCGTGAGTTCTGTGTTCGCGCGCGCGCTTCGCTCGCGGGTGTGTGTGTGTGTGTGTGTGTGTGTTTGAGTGTGTGTGTGTGTGTGTCTGTGTGCGCGGGAGTTCTGTGTTCGCGCGTGTGTGTGCGCTTGCTTTGTGAGTTCGGGGTTTCGGGGTTGAGCATCATAAAGGTCCATGGACCCACTTATTGTATGCAAGATATGGTGGAGTGAAGCCTTGCAGGCACTTGGATCCACAAGTAACATGGGCTTATCATAAGTATTATTCCCTGACAGTGCTTGTTTTCTCATGCTACGAAATTACCCCGAAACACCTGACCAACTATAGACAGTCCGCTCTGCCAAGTATTAGGTCCAAGTGCAGAGCGTCGCGAAGGGCGACTTTCACACGTTCGAGGCTCCGTCCTGCGGAACTCTGACACCTAGAAGAGCTTGGGGTTTAGGGTTTAGGTCAAGCTTAGGGTTTAGGATGGTTTAGGGTTTAGGGC